GATTCATGTAGCCGACCCCACGTAGTGGGATAAAGGCTTGATGTTGTTGTTGTTGTTGTTGTAGTATATAACAAATTTATCATTTTATGTTTACGCAATCTTTTGATTTTGAGGCTTACGCCTCAAAACGCCTTGAGGCTTACGCCTCGCCTCACGAATGAAAAATGCCTCAATACCCGAATACGCAATTTTAAACATTGGGCGAAATCTCTGGATAGTGTCTTATCTACAAACCCATCTGCCTTCCCAAAATTTACCCCGAAACTTAATTCCGTTAAAACTCCCTCGCCGAAAAAAAAAACACAATCAGTGCGGGCGAAGGCCAGGGCCGAATTTTTGGAGCTAACAGCTCTTCGATGCTTTCGTTGACCCAAATACCAATCATAAGTTTTTGCAAGATTCTCCAGCCCTCCATTTGCCTCCATTTATCTATGTAACGCAACTAAGGCATTGCGTACCCTTCTCCCGGTTGCAGCCCCTGGGCATCTTCTCTCTTGTCACCGCCTCTTCCTCCCGCAGTCATAACCTTCATTCTCATTACATAAGTGATATGTAAATGACCCAAAAAGAACATGATCTGAAACCTTACATGCATAGAAATCTGTGCTAGCGAGCACAACGGCGCTTGCCTCTCAAATTGAGAAGTTCTAGTTGATCGAGCTCAGTGGCACTGGTGAGCTGGATGCAGCGACACCGACTTCTCTGGTCTATAGCACATCGAGCAAGCGCTACAACACAATGATACAACAACAACATCAAGCCTTTATCCCACTACGTGGGGTCGACTACATCAATCTTATTTTTTTCATTGTGCCTTGTTATGAATTAAATTCTCATTTAAATCTAATAAAATTTTTTTATTTCTAATATTTTCTAACAAAGACTTTTTAGTTCTACATCTACCTTTCTTAACAGATGTCAAATCTAATACATCTACTCTCCTAACCGGATCATCTAAACCATCTAAGGCGACTCTCTCTAACCTTGTATGCCACTAGAACAACTACAACCTTTTCACGTATATGCTCGTTTTGCCATCGCTATCCAAGAGTAAAGCCACTCACCCACCTGACCATCCTCATCTCTGCAACATTAAATTTAATTTTATGCTTCTTTTTTAATGGCCAAAATTTTGCACTAAAGCATTGCAAGTCTCACCTCTCACCACCATCTTATAGAATTTCCCCTTAAGTTTGAGGGATACTTTTCTATCATAGAGCAAGCCCAAAGCATTCCTCCACTTGAATAATCCAACTTGAATTCTACTAATAATATCCCTATTTATTTCACCATCACTTTGGAAAATATAGCTGAGATATCTAAAACATGTACTCTTATTAATGACTTAATCGTCCAAAATCACAATCCCCTAATAGATCTATTACTACTAAAATTACACTCAATGTATTCAATTTTTAATCTATTCAAGCGAAAATCTTTAGACTCTAAGGTTGACCTCCATAATTTAAATTTATCTTCAATTCCCTCTCTAGTTTTACCAACAAGAACAATATCATCAGCAAAAAGCATACAACAGGGTACATCATCTTGCAAATGTCTAGTAAGAACATCCATGACTAAAACAAAAAGTTATTGGCTTCAATCTGATCCTTCATGTAATCTAACTTAAAAAGGAAAATATTTGGATAAACTACCTTGTGTTTGAACACATTGCTTCTCTTTAAACTTTATCATAACCTTTCTCTAAATCAATAAATATTATATATAGATCCTCCTTATTCTCTCTATACTTCATCAAATCTCTCAATAAATATATAGCTTTCATAGTAGACTTACTCGGCATGAATCCCAACTGATTTTGAGAAACATTAAAATCACATCATAACCTATGCTCATTAACACTCTCCCATAGTTTCAAAGAATGACACATTAACTTAATTCCTCTATAATTCGCACTCTTGCGACTACCTTTCTTAAAAATAGGAATCAGCACACTCCTCCACTCATCTGATCACCTTTTAGTCTTCAAAATAATATTGAAAATTTTTGTAAGTCAAGAAATTACTTCATCTCCTAAGCATTTCCACCTATATTGGAATATCATCAAGTCAAACAACTTTTTCACACTTCATTTTCTTTAAAGCCTCTATAACTTCGATTTTACTAATACGCCGATAAAAAGAAATATCTCTATTTTCATTTAGGTGCTAAGGACGCTAAAGTCAATTGTAATCCCACAATTTTAATTGAAAAAGTTTATCAAAATATCTCATCCACCTTTATTGAATATACTCTTCTAATAAAAATACTTTTTTATCTTTATCCTTAATGCATCTAATTTTAACTAAATCACTACTTCTCCTATCTCTATGTTTAACTAAGAGATACATATATCTTTTATCATGCTTAATATCTATTATATAAATTATTAAAATCTAAATTATTTGCATCACATGTTATCTTCATAGACTCCTTACATGAATTTTTACATACAAAATAATTATTATAATATAACTTATTTTTAACTTTTTTTGCACATTTTGATTCTACTACCAACTAATTTTACTACTAGAAACTTTTCCTTTTAATACTCTAAGCATATCCTTTGCAACATTCATAATATTATTAGCTATTTTTTCCCACATAATCTTAATTTTCTCATCTACAATCAAAATCTTAAGATCTTGAATCTTATTCTCAAAAATATTTTTGTTAGTAATCTTTAAAAGTTTTACTTTACTTTTCATATTTAACCCCTTTATCTTAAGGTCCAAACTAATAAGTGATAGTGAAGACAAAGTTTTCACTCAGAATAACTTTACAGCCTTTGTAATCTACACGAACTATTTTTCTACAACATTATAATTCAAATTCTTATCTATAATCACTCCTACATCATTTCTAGGACGACTTCAACAAGAAAATTATAATTCAAATCCTAAACTGTCAATCTGGTTAGTCATCCCTTCAACCCATTTAGTTTCATGAATGCATAGAATATTTATCTTCTTATAAATCATAATATCTATTAATTACATTAGTTTACCTGTAAGAGAACCTATATTAAAAATTCATATCCTAATGCTACAACACTAATTCAATAAAATTATTTTTATTCATCAAAGAAAAATTGTAGGTTATCAAATCCAAGCCCGGTACACTAAAACATCCGCTAAACCCCCATTTGCAAACACTTGGGTTGGAAGAGAAGGAGACAAAGAAAGAGAGAGGACGAGAGAGAGAAGATCAACAATAAAGTAAAACTTTATCCCACTATGTGGGGTCGGCTACATGAATCTTTTTTTCTCCATTGTGCCCTGTTAAAAGATAAATTCTCATTTAAATCTAATAAAGAAATGTCATTTCTAATATTTTTGAACCAAGTCTATTTAAGTTGACCACTACCTTCTTAATATAAGTCAAATCTAATACATCTACTTTCCTAATCGAGTCATCGGAAGGCTGCCGTTTTATGTGACCAAACCATCTAAGGCGACTCTATCTAATCTTATCTTCCATTGGAGCTACTCCAACCTTTTCACGTCTAGTTTAAAAAAGTAAAGCCACTCATCCACCTGAGCATCCTCATCTCTGCAACACTTAACTTCATACTATGCTTCTCTTTTAATGACCAACATTCTGCACCATAAAGCATTGCAGGTCTAACAACCATCTTATAGAATTTTCCCTTATATTTGAGGGGGCCTTTTCTATCACACAACAAGCCCGATGCATTCCTCCATTTCAACCATCCAACTTGAATTCTACTAATAATATCCCCATCTATTTCACCATCACTCTAAAACGTGTACTCTTATTAATGACTTGATCAACCAAAGTCATAATCCCCCCACTAGAACTATTATTACTAAAATTACATTCCATATATTTAATTTTAAATCTACTCAAACAAAAGCCTTTAGATTCTAAAGTCGACCACCATAATCCAAGTTTACTTTCAACTCCCTCTCTAGTCTTATCAACAAGAAGAATATCATCAGCAAAAAGCATACACTAGGTTACAACCTCTTGCAAATGTCTAGTGAGAACATCCATGCCTAAAGCAAAAAGATAAGGGCTTAAGGCTGATCCCTGATGTAATCCAACTGAAATAAGAAAATACTTGTTCAAACCACCATGTGTTTGGACACAAGTAAAAGCTCATGCATACATATCCTTAATGACTTGAATATAAGCATTTTTAATCATTTTCTGTCCTAGAACTCTCCATAGAACTTCTCTTGGAACTTTATCATATGCTTTCTCTAAATCAATAAATATCATATGTAGATTCTCCTTATTCTCTCTATACTTCTCCATCAAACCTCTCAATAAATGTATAGCTTTGATAGTAGACCCACCCGACATGAATCCAAATAGATTTTGAGAAATGTTAGTATCATGCCGCAACGTATGCCCCATAACTCTCTCATATAGTTTTAAAGTGACCCCACAGGATGAATTTGCTAAGAATGAGATGATCCTCTAAGTGTGACCTTATCTGTCAAGAGTTCCACTACTTTCTCATAAGCTGGTGCCAACAGCTACTCCTTAGAGAGAAGAAGCTTATTTTGGGTGAGCAGTATTCTAAGCAAGTGTTTCCTCTGGACGAGCCTCTTGGATAGAAACTTGTTCATAAACCTACGAGTTACCAATATGGGCATGTATGGATATACACTTACTTAGGTTAAATTAGAAAATGAAAAAGCCTAAAATATGTTCAAATATGGCTAGCACTCATCCTAACTCCATACCCCCCAAAAAAAAAAAAATCTAAATATCATTAAACCTTTAAGATCTTCAGCCAGGTTTCTTAAACTAATGAGCAAGGCTTAGATTGAAAAGAAAATTCACTACAGAATTGAATGAACCCATTCCCTAAAAAATAAAAGGAGTAATTCATTCAATGACAGATTAGTTGAATTTATTCCAATGATATAACATTTTTCCCTACCCGCAGAAAAAATTTAAGATGCAAACTTTAAAGAAAAATTCACGGCATTGAGTAACAAGAATATCAGATTATGACTGAAATATACCTTTTCGGCTTGCATGATTGAGATCTCTTCATTCCCAGGCAAACGTAAAATACACCCTTCACGTTCTAGGGGAACAGTAGGTCGAGTAAAACAATACGAGTGATTGGCAGTTTTCCCAGTGAACTGATGTACATTTGCTGGAACATCTACAGTAGCATTGCTGCGAGGTCCTTTGAAAAAGCATTTATATAGATTAAGTTTGGAGTATTTCCAAAATTTCCTTTCGTAGATGCTTGTGAACACCTTATGAACTCAATTCACTTGAAATCAAACAAATCGGTACAATTGATTATACAAAACAATGAAGCTTTACCTTTTAAACTAGCAACGTCTGAAAAATTCATGACCACCTGACCCATCTCTCCCACCTGCTCAGAGCTTTGAGTAAGTTTTTGGAAGCTTTCAGAGTTCTCATCAGAGTACTGTTCATGGAAACTCAAGTCAAGACTACAAAATGAATTGGAGAGAAAGAAAATACATGATTATATCATTTATTGTATAAACAAAAAAGAGCAGACAATAGAAAATCTGATTGTGGACTCCATCTTTGAAATATTCAGTTTGATATACCTGATAACTTAACTCGACATTTTCCTCCGAAGGCAGGCTTGAAAATGCCTCAGCAGACATGTCTACCTAAGATGAACAAGACATAAAGGAGACATAATTTACTCATTATTCTATCAAGAAAATGAGATCAGATATTTTATAAACTCTTCCCTAATAATGGGGCTCAACACATCTCATTTTGAGATTTGACCACAAACAACTAATACCGGCTGGCTTGTCGGTCATGCAATGAAACAGCAGCCTAAATTGAAAAGGGCTCAAAAATACCTAAAATTGTGAACGCTTTGCCAGCCTATATTTCAGAAGTTAATTTAAAGATCCATTTGATAACGGGACACGAGAACCATCATTAATGTATTGAAGTTTAGTTCAACCCTAAAACTGCAGGAAAACGAATAATAACAGAAGCATTTTGAAACAATAAAGCCCTTTATTCACCTGTTCCAGTGTCCTTGGATGAAGTGGCAAAGAAAACTCATCGCTATCACCTAGAGATGTAACTAAGTTATAAGAGAAGAACTTCAAACAAAAACCATATATTCACATTATTAACAATATTTTAAGAAGGCACGGAGTAATAGAAAAATATGATTATAATCAACACCTGTAGTTTTTGCGCCAGACAAACTCTCATCAAGTGCTTTTGTCTCCCGACCCATTTCAATTTTTGCAGAGGTTTCAGGACTCTGAGACTGAATGAGACGTAGTTAAAAGAAGGGGTGATTCAAAAAGAAAAAAAAAACAGTCCAAGAAATAAGTATAAAGGTATATAGCTCTCAATCTCCCTTCACAATTTCTGTTGATACTTAGCCAATTAACTCAAATCACAACTAATAGTGGAAATATAAGAATAATTCCAAAGTTTAAGATGACTTCACATTACCAAGTGCAAATCTAAAAGGGCTTCTAGAACACTTGTTTTCCAATCACTCCATGATGGAGCTATGCAAGGGCTAATTTTATTGTAGCTCAACCTTTTTGAACTTCCAGATCAGCATAGTAAATTTTTTTTAAAAGTTATTTGTCTAAATAAATGATCAAAGAACTAATTAAACAGATAATAATTAGAAGAGAATATGAATTCAGATGTATGTGTTACAGTGGCTAATTAAAATAATTTAACAAACATTCGCAGCACATAACACGTACTTCACAGATCATATATCCTATCATATAAAATACTGCAGAAAAATCAGCCATTTACTTCACTAAGAAATTGCAGATGAACATCTTGAATGATAATAGTACAGTTCAGTTATATATAGTGGTTTTGGACATCCCCAACTGAACGCCAAACAAGCATTTGCAGTCCTCACAAGCTCCAACCAAACGCTAGATTCAACAACATTTTGGTTGAGGTGAACAATGCGACGTCAATTGCACTGTTCACAGATGTCATTTTTTTGCCCTTTTTTCGTTTGGAGAAAGAATATATTGGTATATTCTTTAATGATGTGATAAAATAAAGTTCGGTAGGAAATGAGTTCCTGCATTTTAGAATAGTAATACATTTTGGAGTGTAAAATTAGTTTTTCGGTTGGAGATGGACTTAGACAATTAAATGTTATATACTCACCAAAAAATAATTATTTTCATCGCCAAGAGCAACAGTGTCCTGTATGTGGTCTGGATCTGAAGGAATCGGTGGCACAGAAACACCAGGATTAAATGAAAGCGCTTTAGCACATTCTTCCACTGGAGGATTACTTACACATAAGCGTATATTTCTGGTTTCATTCAACTCTTTCTCCATTTCTTTGGCATGAGCACTCTGCTTTCTAAGAGTTTCCTTGAGATATTGTACTTCATTCTCTGATTCCTGTCCAAGATTTGTGAAATAAAAAAGGAATAAAATACGCATATACAACAGCATTGTTTTTTTAAATATATTTTAGCAATGGTAGTTAATTATTACAATCAAACTAATGCGCTCAACACTGCAATAGTAATAACTAAGATGGCAAATTTTAAAGAACAATACTGAAGAAACAAAGTTGGAATTTCGGGAACTACAAGATCTGGCTTTGTCCATTTTCAAAAGCTTTATAAACCATTATGGTATAACTAATTTATTTGTCACTGTTGTCCATTTTCAAAAGATCTATAAATATTACTTAAGAGACATAACACAAGACATTTTTTTAATTAAAAATTTTCTCTTTTCCAGTTGTGTGAAGGAGGTTGCATGATTTCCAGCCAACAAGCGTGAAATCAATTGTTATTTGAAATCAATTGTTATTCTCTCTTCCATTTTTTTTTCTTCCAAGTTCATTTTATCTCGACCTAAATTTTCTCAGCAACTTGAAAATCAATGTCTACTGGCATCGCATTACAGCAAATTCCATTTTCATAGGTAAAACAAAATGTCATTGAGTTTAAAAGCAGCGAGATACACTCTTTAGCACAGATGTCTTCAGCTTGATGAAGAAAAAACCTCCATATGACCTAAAGAAAGCTACCAACCTACAAAGATGGAGAGAGTTACGAGCTGGGACTTCTGCCAATGAAGACAAAGTGGGAGACGGAGATAGAGAAAGAGACGTGAGAGAAAGAGAGTGAGAATATGAGGGAGAATGAGCATGCGCTCGAGCCGAACGAGCGTTAGCACATAGTTGCGATCTTTGAGAGTCCAGATGAGAGAGAAAGAGAGCATGCAAGCAGGGGGACAATGGATGTCACTGAGTTGTGCATGAGCGAACCTGAGGGAGGAGTTCAATTCTTTTTTCTTTCTCCAAGCTTAAGGCTAGGATTTAACCAAGATTTCATTTATAAATCAATGAAACCTACATATAGTTGTTGAAAATCTACGTGATTTTGATTGAAGTATTACACAAGGAAATCATTTGAACACGAAAGGAGCAGGTAGATTGAGAGCGGCCTTTCTAGAAGACTGGACAGATAAGATACAATATAGATTTGTATTTAATCACAATGACAAACTTTATGTTAATTATTATAAATAGTTCAGGTGTTAGAATGTTATAGAGAAGGGATATTCTTAAGGAAAGCCTTGACATTGATAGAATTGTATATGGTTTTGTACCACCTTTTAGTTTCAAACTATGACTCCAACTAAATATAATGAATTTGTAGCATGTGTGAGGAAGCCACAATAAGACAAGTATAGTTTCATAATAATCACGGGTTAGAAGAACCAATTCCAAATCATAGTTACGTAAAAAAAGATTCTGTGACTATTACCTTAAGCTTATCTTTATATTGCTTTAGCGTGCTCAACAAAGCTCTGGCAAAATTCCTCATAACTTCTTCACTCCTCTTGATCTTTTGAAACTCAGCATGGAACTCGGCGTAACCTTGCTTGCAAATATCCTCTCCAGCAGAATCTGATATAATTAAAATAACTGGTGGTTTAAAATTTTTGAATGGATGCAAGCAACCATAATGATGAAAGATAAGCAAAGAGAAAAATAACCGATGATGAGGTACTGGAAGTAAAACTTGTATAAGAAACAAAGAACGGAATGACATAAATGCACAATTTTAGATTCAATAATTCGGGACCTGTGACCCCAACAAACAAGAGTTAATACAATGTCATATGTAAAAGAATTATTAACCTTTCACAGATATTTTACTTGAAGCAGTCGCATCCATCACAACATCATTTCCATTAATCTGAAAAGGGGAAAAAAAAAAGATTTAGATAAGAACAAACTAATGCAAGTACCGCGCTATACCACCCACGTCAAAATTATTCGATCCACATTAACAAAACAAAAACTAATAATGAGGTGAACAGACCATTTCAAAGACATTAAAGACTGTCGATATTTTTGTTCACACTTCACAAAAAAAAATTTGTAACTCAACTTACTCCAGCAATATTTACTTCTATGTAGCTTATCTACCTGAAAAGGGAAGTAAAGCAAAAACTCTAATATAATACTCATATTATCATGCCAAAGTTCTAATGTGTTTCGAAAACATTACCTCTATTATTATTGACCTTATTTCATGATTAAGCGAGTACATCGAAAAAAGAGACTAAAAGATATGTCGCTTATCAGAGCATTGGGACACCTCGATCGCCATCAAAACGGCTCAAAACTTTATCCGATTGTGAAATAGATCACACTGATGCACTCATAACACCAAATTTCCCACATAAGAGTCGTTCATGCACGACTCAATTGGAAATGACGACAAGCATGACAGTTGGGAAGCACGACTCAATCGAAAACTACTGAAATGACCTCCAATTGTCAAACAAACTGCGTCGATATGATCAAAATGTTAGATTTACCTAAGAAGAAGAACCCCTCGTAGTTGAATTGGGTAAAAGAAGTTGAAATCAATAGGCTACGGATGAAATATTGTGCGACGTTGTTCAAAATCGTCACTTCTAAGGTATTCTCATCAGGGGATGAGATTCTTCGACCATGGGAGAATTGACACGGTCAAGGTAGGGGGTGATTTTGAACGATTTTTTGCGGTTGTTTGGTCTTCCCATGTGGCTATTTGGTCTTTCAATGAGGTTATTTTGTCTTCCTATGGTGACAGGTCAGTTTTCATGCTATCCCGCTTTCCCTGTTGTTGGCTTTCCCTATACTGATTATTTTTCCCCATGCTGATCTCGGTTTTCCCTGTTGCTGGTTGTTCAGTTTCCAACTTGTTATTTTCTTACACTAAGTGCATTTTCTCATTAAATGGGTTGTGTTGAAAGGCTCATATTGGTTGTTTTTGGTGGCAGAATTAAGTGAACAATTGAATGTTATTCCTCCTTCTTTCTCCTATAAATCGGGGCTAAACTCCTTTCTAAAATGGAGAGTGAATTGTGAAGAATTGATGCAATCAAGGCTACCTATTCTATGTTTTTTTTTCACTTATGTTTTTAGCTCTCTCTCTCTGTAGCTTTTCATTTTCCCTGTTGTTCACTCAGTTTTCCAGTTGTGTTCTAGTTTTCCTTCTTGTCTACATTTTCCATGCGGCTTCATTTAACTATGCTGGCTGGTTCTCCCATGCTACAGTGCCCTTTTTTTCTGATGCTGGCGGTTCAATTTCCACCTTGTTGGTTTCCTATTCTTATATTTCATCTCGGACTTCTATCTATTCTTCTCTCTACGATTCCCATTCCACCTATACCTTTCTTCTCAATACTTTGATTAGTCGTAAGTTATGTTGTGTTCTTTTAATTTGAAGGTGTAATGTGTGTCTTTATTTAAAATAGTATTTTTATATTGTTTTATGTTTGCCTAAGTTTTAAGGAAAGGAAGTCTTAGTTTGCAAATTTTTTATTGCATCAGGAGAAGTAGATAGAAGTCTAAGACGAAATTTTAGAAGATAGGGCGTGGGAAGAAAATAGCTCGCAAGCTATTGAAACTTGCAAGATTCACTTTTCAAATATTCTTCACAATCTCTCTCCAAAACTCTCCAGAGGAAATCATCAAACTTATATAGAAGAATATGGAGAAAAAAGGTATTAAATACTATCCTTAATGAGCCACCCAAATCAGCCAATAAAATAAATCCAAAACAACCCACTTAATGAGAAATTAAAACACTTTAGCATAGGAATCAGCAAGGAACAATACACAAATAGCAAGCATCAGAGGAAAAATGAGACAATAGTAAGGTGGAAATCGAACAACTAGCAACAGGAAAAAACTGGCCCAACATGGGGAAGACTAACAACCAATTATGGGAAGACCAAACAACAATATAGGGAAGACCAAACAACCACAATATGGGAAAACTCAAAGGGCTAACAGCAGGAAAATTAAAAAACCAATAAGGAAAACGAGGAATCAGAAAAGGAAACTGAGAAGTCATGCAAGAAAATTAATAAATGGCAAATATTGATTGCATCAATTCTCACATAGTGAAAGAATTTCATCTCCTAATGAGAATGCCTCAGAAACATGCTGGAAGATATTTGGACAATGACATTACAACTCCATGGCTAATCTGTTGATGAAAAATTATGGATTACTTGGCTTAGTTCATTAGGTTAAATGACACTGCTTCCCTACTGCTCTAAATGTGTTCTTTCTGATGATAGACCGTCCTCTTGAATTGGAACTTCGGCTTGTAAACAGTGTAAAATTCAAAAAATGTCGATCGTAAGCGTTGCACGCATTTCAATGTGCCGCAATAAAATTTAGGGAAATTTTCAAAGTCATCGGATTTCGACGAAAATAATTTTATAAAATAAAGTAATCAAAGTGTAATATTTGAAATAAAAAAAAAAATTAAATTGGTCTCTGATAGACCATCATCAGACCCAATTCCTATGCCACTAGAGCTCATTATTCTACAAAGGATCGACACAAATTAAACCGCATGAATTTGAAACATAAGAATTTTTAAGTAAAAGTGTAAATATGTCATAGATATGCCAAATTTATATTGTAAAAGTTGTTTTAAAGCTTTCTCTAGCTTCTCGGTGCCGCTTGGTACCATTCGGTACCCCTCGGTACCAAGCAACACAAAGCATTGATACTAAGGATGGTACCGAGCATTGCGGAGAGGTACTGAGTGGTACTAAGTTATGGTACCGAGCAGTACAAAGCAGTATTGAGTATCGAGCGGTACCAAGTATCGAGCAGTACCGAGCAATACCGAGTACCGAGCAGTACCGAGTGGTACCGAGTACCGAGCGGTACTGAGCAGTACCGAGTACCGAGCGGTACCGAGTTCCGGTACCCTTTTTTTCATAGGACACGCGTATATGATACATGTGTCCGGTCAAATTTAAATAATATTTTAATTGGATACGACAAAGCTGTATCCGACACGTATCTGTGCCGTATCGGAGGCGTATCCGTATCCGACATGTCTCCGATACATCATGCCTCGTAAATAGGAGTATCCATGCTACATAGGCTGTGATGAAGGAGAATACAGACGTAATTGCGACATTGGAGATTATTACACTGTTGATTGGCGATGAGGTAGGAACTGCATTGACAATATTGATGTTTGGTAATTAAAAGTAACTAACAAATAATTTTGAGAGAAATAAATAATATAACTACAAATTTAGTCCTTGTGCTCCATAATTCATAGATAAGGCAGATAATATTTCCGCTTACTCTGAGGAGTGCAAATGGTGATAAACTGACACAAAGAGAGAGTTATGAGAAGAGAACAAGACGGTTGAAGATTTAAAACCGACTAGATAAAATTAAACAGAAGAAGATAGCAAAAGTAAGATGTAAGAAAATCAGAAAATAAGCAATCCAAACCAAGATAAATGATAAGTAAAAAAATAGAATAGTTTCACCAACAAGCTGCTACAAACACTTGCTCCAAAAATAAATGATATTAGCATTATTGAAGGGGCAGCTAAAGCACACAAAAGAATTACCACCGGAACTTCAGAGATATTAGCTTTCCTCCTCTTAGTTCTTTCTGTTATAAATAATGCAGCCTTTCTCTTCTGGCATGGTATATTATTATTTTCTTGAAGATAAAATCTGCAAAAAAATATATATGTTTACAGTATTACACGTAAAAAAACCTGGCCAGTATGTACTTGTATGAACACAGCTTGCTATATAAGATAAATAGGCTAGTTTTGCAGAGCTTGATGGTTTTAAGTAAAAAAACTAGGTTCAAGTCTCATGGCAAATATTTTACTAAACCAACGATGTATGTTACTATGTTGTCACAACTGAATAACCACATGGCATAAAACTGAAGTGAAAAATGTCAAAAGGAATAGGAATAGAAGCTGGTTCTTAAATGATAGCCAGCGTCTTGATGTAATCCATAGAATCATAATTTAAACTCCCATTCGTCAACAAACAAATAAATATCCTCAACTGACACACACTTCAAAAGCAGAAACAACCAATAAGAACAACCAATTTCCTAAATTGATTGCTTTCTCGCCCATATTAACAAGCCAAATAGTACTATTACTTAGGAAACAGATGCTGGAACTAAAGGAAACAGGTTTGGGCAGGAAAAAGCTACTAGCTAGTGTAAGGATAATCGGTGAATTTGTAGGAGAGGGATAGTGGATAATTGTTGGTTGTGAAGCAAACCTGGCTCTAAATTTGATTATGTAGAGACGAATTTTTTGTAGGTGGATAAAAAAGTTGGCAAAGCATTATCCGAAAATATCTCATATTCATCATTCAAGAATGACCATGGGAAAAAAGCCCCATGGTTTAATCATCACTTCATATCACACTAGAGAACTTTAAATTAAAAGCCACTAATCCAACCATGCAATGATTTATTCTGATTGCTTCCAATACAATCTAACCTATTAAGTTGTTATTTTAAGCATAGACTCCAAGGAGATGGTTCTTGGGTGGTAAAGGGGGAATGACAGCAAACTTGACAAAGATCACATAGTTTTATCATTTTAGGTTGTCGGTCTACCATAGCCTAATTAGTTAAAATGATTTACTACTTTGGGACACAAGAATCAAAACAAGGGGGTGGCATTGTCCAAACGAGATCACAAAGTAAGGGATTAAAACTTGCCAAGGATGGCAATTTCATGGTTGAACTCAACGAGCAGAAGGATTTATACATTAGATCTAGCATGTACATAAAGCTCTATGTTGGAAGGAACAACATGTCCTTTTTTTTTAATGCACCGATGCTTGTTTCAAGGTATTTTGAAGGCAAATGTCCAGGTATGTTTATCAAGCCAAAGGCAAAACGAAAATCTAATGGATCAATTGGGAGATCTTATGATTATACATAAGAAAATCTGATGGATCAAATCCAAGATCTTATGATTATACTTTACAACTCAAAAATATTTCCCTATCGAACTAATTCAATATATATTTTTCAATTTTGCTAGAGATATTTATTTATTTGTAGAGAAATGTGAAAGGGATTGTGTACTTTGAAAACTACAATGAGATGGATTTATATTCCTTTGAGAAGATACAGAGTGCATCAGTGCATTTGGAAAGTTTCCCCTTGAGGGACTTCATACCCAAGAATATAAATGTCATTTTGAGCTTCAAAGAGCATTTTGATAGTTTCAACTCCTTAAGAACTTTTTAATGGCCTTCAAATCTTCAAAGGGCCAATTGGAATATTAATAACCCCCAGGGATATTTCGAAATTTTTGTCACCCATAAGAGCACTTTCAATATTGCCTAATTCCTAATATCCATTTCAATAATTTTGAGTTGTACTAGGAATTTCAGTAATTATAACACTATGAACGTGATTTAGCAATTTTGGGCCAATTAATGTCATTTTGGACTATTATTAATCATGTAGGCATTTCTTTAAGTCATTGGGATGAACAATGCTTTTGAACATTTACTGATACATGAGAAAGCATAAATAAAATAATAGTCAAATGAAATTGAAGTTGTATTATGAAAATAAAGCAATGAGAAAGCTATTGCAAAAAAATCATTAATATCAAACCGCAAACTAGAGATAAATACTCAAAGATTTTGTTGGCATTATAGAAATAGATGAAGGCTGTGATTTCCTTATTAAAAGGTAGGAAATTGATCCCCACACCTCTGCAAACCATTTCTTCCTACGTAATCATTTTTCTATTCTTTTTAGAAAAATATTCAAGTTAATGTTAAAATGAGAAAATAAAATTGAAAAAGAAAATAAGTAATACCTTCAAAGTAACTTATTAAGCCTCCCCTAATTTAGAAGAAAGATCTTAAAAGTCATATTTCACAAGTGTTCTTAATGTTGATTTTTAAAAAAGTATTATTTTTGTACTTGAACAAAAGGACTGTGTTAAGATGTGTAAAATTGCTTCCTATCATTTCAATAAAGAAGTATCTTCTGAAGTAACTTTACTTGATTTTCATGTATGGAGATGCTTGTCTCAGAATGAAAGATGTATCCATGTAGTCTTCCTGTGCTGCTTTCACAGTTAGAATCTGCAAGAAAAAAAAGTGGGAGAATGTTCTTCAAAATATTCATTGATAGCTTTTAAACCTCTCATCGTCAAAGTTCATGACTCAAGTAAACGTTACGAAATTCAGTTGAAAGCAAAAAAATAATTCTTCATTTTTTTATGATACACCATAACGGATGACAGAAGTAAAGAGAAGGATATTGTTCACAGACAAATCAACGCAAATGAAGCGACAGAACTTTACGACTGAAGACCTTTCTATAGTTCACTCAAATGTTTCTCTATTCAAACATTATAACATAGCATAGTTTAAAAGTTCATTTTAAGTATTCTAAAGAATAGAGCTATCCTGAAATATAAAAGATCATAGTTTTCCCACTTTTAGTTCAAAGTGCATTATGCAGCTATTATTTTTCATAGAGAGCGTTTGTATTAGAATATTTAAAGCTTTATTTCTTGCACTATTACGCATTTTATAGCCATAATTTAATCTAGCTAAAAAAATTATCTATTCTTCTACTCATTCCATATATACAGTTTATATTTAATTTGGTCTCTCATTCCATATTGCAGGAGAGCAATTATATGATTTACCTACATTCAGGAATACATGTTTGATGCAAAAAAACAAAATGAAAATTGTTCATTCAGGAAAACAGAGTTCCAAAATTGAAATATATTATAATGACAATCAACTTTATTGTTTAAAAGATTTATTATAATAATAATTATTATTATTATCATCATTCTTGACCCGTAATTAAAAAAAAAAAATGTCGCGTACCTGCCCTGACACACGTCGAAGGCATGGTCGCGACACTCCTTCCACGTCGCACGACCTCGCCTCGGTCGCTGCCCCGCTATGAAAATTGAGAGCTGCACTCTCGTCCATCTTCTTCCCACACGAGAGCTCCGAACCGAATCCCCTCTTCCTCCCGCACGGTTCTTCGTCGTTATTCGGCTTCGTTGCTTCGCAGGAGATATAGAGATTGTAGGCATCGCTACTTCGGCTTCTTCGTTGCAGTTTGAATTCGGTCGTTCAACGACTTTCCCTCCCCACCAGATCGGAAGTCACGACAACTTGATCGGAAGGAGGAACGGGGGTTCGCCCGCAGTGAAGGAAACTTTTTCCCTTCTCGCCGCTTCTTCGCCTCCTTCGTGGTTGTGCAACTTCGCTCCTTCGACAGACTTCCCTTCCTGTCCGGTTGGAAGTCCGACATTTTGATCGTAAGCAAGTTCGCTCGTATGAAGATAACCTTCTCCAGATTGTGCACTTCCTCGGCTTCTTCGTTGCTGGCCGACATTGCTCCTCCTCAATCCACGAGCCTCCACCGCCTGTCCCCAAGGTATAGCTTCTAATTTGAAAACCCCTCTCTCGACGCTTGCAACAAGCCGGCAAACTCCCTACGCGCTCACGTAGCGTAGTAGGGAGGGAAACCGTAGCGTAGTAGGGAGGAAAACCGGCACGGTGTTTGCAACGAGGTGGGTAATCTCTGGACCACTCATGTAGCGTGAGGGGGACAAAATTAAGTACCCACACGTGGGAAAGTTCCCGTGCTTCTTTTCAATAGGTGCTCAAGACCCTTAAACACTTATGTAGTGGGCGGGGATTAAAGAATATGAGGCCGCGGTATTCTTAGACACCTACCTGAAGCGCTCAAGTAGCGACGAGGGGAAGGCTAGTCTCTCGGATTTTTTCCCTAAATGGAGGAGACGTCGGGATGATGCCGAAATTCAGACTGAAGACACCGTGAACTTGAACAACATTTGGACAACAAGGACTTGGACATCAAATTTGAACATAGAGTGAACCAAATTAAAAGTTGAATAAATGAACCAAAAAAAAAAAAAACTTAAATCAAATCTGATTAAAAAAGAGCTTGAATTGAACAAGACTACTTGAGTTTGGACTTGAATATGTGATGTAGGCAGGGCGGGTCTCAAAATAATTTGAGTTGAAATTTTTGTAAGTTTTACTTGAGTCATCTCATTAATGAGCATCTTCTTATGTTTCAGCTCATAAATGCTTTCTCACTACTTATTTCAGCTCATAATTTGTGTGTTTATTGCCAAATCTAGATTCATTCCCCCTTTGGTTTCTTCTTGTATCTCTTTGATTTTTCTAGTAGAACCTCTTCTCCCTCCCTTTGTCTTTTCATTTCCTTGTGCTTTTTGTTTTCCCGTGCAATGCCCCTTGGGTTTTCGAATATGGCTGTTGGTTTCCTGTGCTTTGTCTCTTGGATTTCCGTGACTGGCTGTTGATTTCCCTGTGCTGGGAGAAATTTCGTGCCTTTGCCCCCTTGGTTTCGTGGATAGCTGTTCGATTTTGGGTTCCATGCTTGATTCCTGTGCTGGGCTACTCGGTTTCACTGTTCCCTGCTTGTTTCCACGGGATGGCTGCTTGGTTCCATGTGCTGGGCTGTTCGGTTTTGCTGTTTTCTGCTTGGTTCCGTGATATTCCTTCTCTGTTTGCGGTGCCGTTTGGGAATTTATGTGTGGTGGCTGTTGGCATTTCCTATTCCCTAATTTAATAGCTTTTAATTAATGTTTATGGCTGTTTTGATTCCACTTTTGTGCCAATATATAGATGGTTATGTGGCAATTTTAGAGAGTTTATGGTTAAGGTGATGATTATGATTTTGGATAGAACTTGCGGGTTTTCTTCGTGAAAAAGCTTGCGAGCTTGTTCCATTCTCCTTCTCCTCTAGGAAAGCTTGCGAGCTTCTCCTCTTTCTTCTCGGGCTTCTAATTTCTTTCGTCTCTCCGCAAGTTTCATTCCAGCTGTATCCTTCTTCTCAAGGCAAAGCTTCTTTAGGCATTTAATGCGTTGTTTGTAAGCATCCAGAGTTGTAAGCGTCTTGTAATCATCTTTTATAATATTAAAGTTTATTTTTGTCGTATTTTATCAGATTTTGGTAATTTGGTGTATCTTTTTATAATCTAGGAAGAGTTTTCTTTTTTGATAAAAATTTTGGGGCCCAAATTTTTTATTACATCAATATGACATAGCGAACCATACTTGGGCTCGATTTGAATCAAGCACGGTGGACAAGAACTTGAACTTCAGGAGACTTGAACAATCTATAAGAACATGAAATTATTGTGACATTTCATATGAAAGTGGAGGGATTTGGCATGCAAACAAATATATCAGTCTCTTATAAGAACAAGGAAATTAGCACACAAGTGAATGTGGCAAGTGGGCGGCCAATGTATGTGAAGAAATCAACAATGAATACAATCAACCCGATGGTCAATAACAATATGCTTATAGACACATCGACCTCTTATGGGTTATTGAAATTCATATGTCATGAATTCAACGAGTCACTAGCAAACATGAATGAGAGGGTCGTAGTGAGTCTAACTCACCTACGAGTCATTTATACAAGCAAATGTATTTCTCCCCTACGAGCAAAATGATTCAATATGCAATGAACGTTATAGCACTCCTACGATCAGTAATAATCTAATGCTAAGCAAATATACTAGCTCCTTGTAAGCAAGAGTAGATGATATGTGGCAAAGTGCAAATATTCACGAAGTCGTAGGAGACTCATCATATGCATTATATCCCATTTACAAGTAAACATCGGATGAAATGTAACAAATGCAAGTATCCATAGGTCCTTATGAGAGACTCGACATATACACTAAATGTTGTCACAAGCAGAATGCCAAAACGACTACAACAAATAAAAACCCTACGAGCCGTTGAAGGAGACTCGTTATACAACAAAAGCAGGAGATTCGTTAGTGCAATATAATCCACCTGCAGAAAGCAACAAATAGTGCACAACAATTTACATGTATACAACTAGTAGATAACCAGTACAACGCCAAGCCACCGAATCCGCAATATTCATGCAAGCGGACAGAAGGCGTCTACAAATATTCTAAGAATGCCCTTGCACATACACTGTAGTTTGTATACACATAGGTACACTAAAGAGGTAAATATAATCACACCTGTATGGGCCCCGGCGAGTGTGTTATGGATATACACGTGACGTCTAAGGATGCTATGCGGGTCAATAGATTTGAACTTGACCCTCCCAAGCAAGTAAATCGAAGTTGACAAGGTTCAACAAATAATTATAAAATGCCACCAAACCCGCATGGGCCCCGGCGAATGTGTTATTGGTACACACGTGACGTCTAGATATGCTTCGCGAGTCAATAAATGAATTCAAGTTCGAGCCCGATCATTCTATGTGGATCAATAGAAGTCTACAGTGTTCGAACCATCAAACAAATATACAGTTATGGAGACCGGTATGTTTATTTTAATACATTCATATTAAGCCTTCAAAGTCTATAACAATGAAAATTCACTAACAAAGGCATAAATCCTACGAAACTCGATCCTCTGTCGATAACTCGATAGAGTCGACAAGGTTTATACATAAATGCAAATATTTTCAAAAGGAAATGACCCCTTACACCCCGATGTTGGTCGTCTTAAATACAAATCTAAACCGGAGCGGCGATTCAAATATTTTGTCACCCAAGTACCCAAAATCCAAAATCTAGAACTCCTAGATGTTTAAAATTGAAATCTAACCATCAAATACTAAAAACAAAATCCATCTACCCTCCGTAATAATTTGTCGGGGTGGACAAATTAAAATTTACTTCAGCTCACATTGAGCTAATGCTTAGTTTAAAATATCACTATGATTCATTCTCAAAGTCTCTTGCCAGTAAAGACGTGGTATGTGTCCTCACACCGGCGGTTTGTCACCAAATTGCACCGCAGGATAAACAGTTATGACCCGGGCCCTCTGAGCCGAGTGGTTTTGCCGCCAAATGGCACCACGAAATATCGGTTATGGCTAGAGCCAATATGTTCCTTAGTGGCATCAAATCCTTGAGATATTAATCAATAGGGCACAAAGCCCTCTATTAGCTAAGGTGAATTCAAATTTGTCCCTTTAGACAAATATTCACCCTAGGTCAAAAAGGTACTTATTGGACGAAGCAACCCATGGCTGCCGACAAAGATCCTTCTATCAGGTTGGG